GAAAATGAAAGCAAAAGTTATCGATAATTCCGATAACAGCAGCAATACAGACAACATTAATTTAAATGAAACGCGAAATGCGAAAATAAGACATTGCAAATCTTCCAATAGAGAATCACGTTTTGAAAAAAGAGGTAAGAGGAGGGGTACAAAGGGCCGTTCCCACCCTAAATCTGAAAAGCCCACCGTGCGGAGGCTTATTGTTTGTAAGTAATTCGTTTTTAATGATCGCTCTTTGGACGCGCTTCAAAAAAACAACAAACCTGATCAGTCCAACTCCGGTTACGCCATTCATAGTATTTTTGCGTTCATTTCTCTTCTGCGTTCTTCCCGCATTGTGAGAGATATAGGTTTAGTTAAAAAAATGCAATGACACAGTGTGACAGTAAATTTTACATACACAAAAATTTTATATTTATATTTTAGTTTTTCTCTCTGACGTCAGGATTTTTTTTTAATATCCTTGAAATTTAGCAATAATTATTTTCGAAAAAATTATATGTTAAGGACTAATATGCACTCGACCACATCCTCGAATTTAGTCCTTCTAACTTTATTCGCTTAAAAAAAATAAAACTAATTAAAACAACATTTTCAATACCTATTTGTCCATGTGAGCCGAAAAAATTTATTTTTTTTAATTCTACAGAGTTTTCTCTTTCATTTGGTACCCATACTCTTTTTATATATTGGAATGATTTTTTTAAATAATTTTTGGAATTAATCATATCTTTGAAACCATAAAGTCCCTAAAAAATTCCTGACATTTGACCCACAGTTTCGTGAGTATATTGATTGCTTTCTGTGCTTCCAAATTTTTTTGTTTTTGTCGCACGGTGTAAATTATCTTAGCCATAAGATGTTAACCCCGACAATGTTAAAAATCTAATTCTTCAATCGCTCCGGAGAAATTGGTTGCCACAGGCATATCTGCATATACATCGAGTTCCTTTATTCCAACTGTGGTCTGCCAGTATTGCACACCCATTTAAATTTTTAAAACAGCGACAAAAAATTGTCTACCATCCCAGCAGTGTTCCAACTCGCCTCTCAAAGAAAGTAGTTTTAAACTACTTTTTGCATCACCAAAGTTGTTTTCGCTTTTTTCCGTTCGCAAATGGAATTTTTTTCTTGGGCAGTTCGACGCTATACGCTCTTTGACTTTTGGATCACAACAAAACGAGATTCCTTAAACAAAAGTGCCCGCATGTAGCGGAGAAATGTCTACCCCAACAACAGCTATGAAACTAAACACTCAAGCTGTGAGACACAATTCCGTCAATTTCTTTCAAATCAGTTTCTAAATTTTCCACAACATCCTCAGCGTTCGCTAAGCCACAGCTTCGAGGCTACTGCTTCATTAACTTGCACCGCTGCTGCCGCTTCTTCTTCTTTTTCTACTGCTGCAACTAGTGTAATTTTCTCCCATGCCACGATGAAATGTTAGTCAGGCATACAAGTCTGGCGCAAATATAAAAATAAAATTAAATAAAAAGCAACAACAAATATGCGCTTCAACTGCAGATGCGCCACTTTACAACGAACCCCATTCGCCAGTTTTGGATGCTCCGTTGGCCAATTTCATTTGAAAAAAAAACCGGTGCTAGCATAGCAGGTTATTGCATGGTCGACGTGCTGGAAATTGTTGCCGTTAAAAGTTGCCACATTAGCTGCCTGCCGCCTGATGCTTGCCACATTTGGTTGTTGTTGTTGCTAAATGCTTGCTTTCTGCTTTTTTTTTCTAACTACTCTTTTCCTGATATCACTTTTTCACACTTGCTGCTGCTAAAGTTGCTGTTGTGGCAGCTAAGCGGTGTTGCTTAGGCGCTCCGAAACCATTAACAGAAATGATATGCGAAACATCAACAAATACTTTTCGATATAAAAAAGGCAACATCGACTAACCTGCCACTAAGCTATCGCAAGCCAAACATTTGTAGCTCCGCTGTCACGCTTTCTTTTCTTTTAATCGACTTCTTCTCAGCAACTTGCGGTCCATACACTCTTTGCTGGCTAAGTAACTTGCAACAGCTTTTCCGGCAGATATTGCAGTGCAACTTGCAACTTTTCTAAGCTTTTATTTTTTTAATCTTCTTCTTTACCCTTCTTTCCGTTTTCTTGTTTTTAATTTGTGTTGTTATTTTCCTTCATTAGTCACTTACTGCTCTTTAAGTGCTTGTCTTTTAAGTGAAAATTAAGGCAGTCAAGAACTTGCAACTTACCTCTTGCAGCTCATGCACACTCTAACGATTGCTTGAGGCAACTGTTGGGAAGATAATTGTTTTTGCTTTAATTATTGTTGCAAAATACTTGCTTTCAAACTATTAACTACTACCACTGATTAATCTCAGCTGGCGCTTTCGTCTCGCCGCCTTGTTTCACTTAATTGAAGGTAATTCCCATTTGATTGGCAGTAGAGAAATTTGCTGATGACTTAGCTAAAGTGGAGTTTAGAAGACAGATTGACATTAATTTAATTCAATTGAGAGTGGAAATACTATGTGAATTTCGGCGTATAACAAAGAATATGGTAAAGGAGAATACTGTGNAGATATGTGAATTTCGGCGTATAACAAAGAATATGGTAAAGGAGAATACTGTGGTTTAAATAAAGGCGCAGGTGGTTGAGGAATATCATTTTCAAAATTACCAAAGAAAAAATGAGTAACACAATGTTATTTCATACTTCGTTTGAGAAGTGCATGCTGTGGACTATTATGTTGCATACATTTAGGCACTCAATATATAAAGGGCCGTATTATCGTTGGGTGCCTCTTTGGTTGGTCGGTTTGTTTCAGTGCTTCCTAGTCGCTGTCTAGGACAAAATTAACGCGTTTTCGCCATTTTGAAGCACTTCTCGCGAGGATATTTTGTTTATTCATATCCTACGTTCCTAGGTCGAACCAATTGATTCTCTAGTGAATCTACCGATTTCACTAATAGTAGCTCCTGACAGGTCAGTTAGTTGTGTTAGCTGTTACCAGTTGTTTGTTTTATGTCTAATATTCGTAAGGCAAATGCTGGACATTTTTTTGCTTTCTTCTAATTGAAAGTAGTGGTCCTCTTTTTCCGCATGTTTGTTTATGGGCCTTGATCTGCTAAGCAAGTTTTCTGGAAATTTGTATCTCTGACCACTTGCATCAAGACAGTTCAAAGATATGCGGAGACAACCCAGTGCCACCGCTTCGAATTCATCCAAACCGGCTCCCAACTTCGCCAGCTCATCAGCTTTCTCATTACCTTCTATGTTCCTATGTCCGGAAACCCAGACAAGAGAGACGATGGTTGATTGAGTCACTGAGCACAGTATCACTTTGCAATATGGAGACTTGTGGAGATAGCAAAGAACAAATTTGGTCCTGCTTATCTTGTGCGATAAAATCTGTATTGCTATCAAACGAAATATATTCTGGAAAGCTTTATTTTGAAAAAAAAAACTTTGAAGAGGATTGCCATCTTTTTAGCGAGGTGAACTGAGTTATATTTTGAAGTTAAGTGAAATAATGCAACACTGGTATCAAAATAAGCTGTTTAACACAATTCTTTTTTACAAGCAAAGCTTAAAAGGGTTCCACCTTTTTTAAATTTAAATACATTTTTTGTTGCATTTGTGTTAAATAGAGCAATGAAATAAAAGACGCCAGAGAAAATTTGTTTGAGACTAAATTTTCAAAGGAGTTGCCACCTGGGAAAAAATTCAAAAAACCTAGTTACGCAAATTTTGTGTATTCTGATTCAACCTAGCACCTGACTCAACCTTAGGTAAATTTTTTTTTAATTTTTATTAATTTCTTTTTTTAGCAGTGTGCGCAAAACTATTTTGTCGTTGAGTTTGGACAACTNATTAGGTAAAATTTTTTTTAATTTTTATTAATTTCTTTTTTTTAGCAGTGTGCGCAAAACTATTTTGTCGTTGAGTTTGGACAACTTACATAGGTCTTTATTTACAGGATTTAGACTAGCTCTGGCATAAGAAGTTCTAATAGAGCTAACCATTTTTGAGGCTGAGGAACTTCTATCAATGTACTAGTTGGTATCTTGTAAACTCCTCTCGGAGTGAAGGATACTACATATAAGTATAGTCTGGTCATCTAAAAATGTCTATCGCGTAATTGTTTTTATCAATTATTCAAAAATGATGTCATCAGTTCTGGAAATTTCCTCTAAGTACATATAATTTTGTTCGAAGGCAAGCTTTAATTAAAAATTGACAGAAAATTGCGATAAATGCGCTGCGTGGCGTCTCACTTTCGACACCCACATTTTAACCACCGAACCGCTTTTCAATACATAGTTGCTACCATTCTTATCTAAAATGGTTAAACAGAGAAAAGCTATTAGTAAATGTTTTGAGCTTTGAAGCGAAAGTAGAAACAAATAACCCAAACGCAAAAGGTGACACAATTGAAAAATAGCAAAACAACATAGCAAAAAATAAGTATAATAAAACAAAGTTAGTCAGCATAGCAAAGTTATCAAATTAAAGCGTAGAATCCACTTCATAACCAAACGCACAGATACAAAATTATCATACCACGTATACCATATGTACAAACACAATGACACGCTAATAAGCGTATGTGTAGAAAAATAATTTTTCGCTTATCAGTTGGTAAACGTGAACGTTTTTTTGTAGCAATTGAAGTACATAGACATCGCGCTAACAAAGCGGGCGAGTCTGAGTGGGTAATGGTTAGCACGAAAAGCACACAGCACAAAGTAAAAATGCGAGAACTTAACTGAGTGCAGCTCATATGAAGCTGGGCAATTATAAAGCGCTTCTGTAAAAACGTTCCACTTTGATAAAACGCTATACTTTTTGTTTATCTAACTAATACTAATTCACTTACATACATATACGCTTTATATGCACGTAGGACATACATACATATGTACTCTTTATCAGCTACATTGTAGAGCCAACAGACAGTTTACGGTTTGTTGGTGGGTTTTGCTAAAATATGAAAGAGTTTGAATGTTAGTTGCTTACTATTTGACAGCGGCGTCGGAAGTTTGAAGTATAATATTTATTTCTTAATTAATAAAAGGTGGTTTAGTGGCGTAAAATAAAAAAAAATATGATCACAAATTTATGTACACGTGTAGCTAATTGAGTGTTTTCACAAATTTGCACTTTATACGGTAGTAGATGGCCGGATGACTGCGTGGCGTGAATGAATGTGATATGGCAATGCAAACGTCACAAATGTAAAAAAGATATAAAAAATAAAATCAAAATATGTGCATTTGATAACTCAACAATTAAGTGGAAATGTTTTGAATAGTGAAAAGCAAATTTCATGTGGGATTAGAGAAATTGTATATCAAAACTTGGATCTAAACTAATGGAAAAAATGGGATTTCATAAAGGTAAACATTTTCCGAATAATATAAGCTTAAATTGAATTGCGTTAAATTATGTTAATTGAAAACAAAACAAAAAATGTATATACAAAAAATAAAAATTATCAAATAAAATACATTAAAAATTAGAATGAAAAAAATAGAACAAATTTAATAAATATAAAAAATTAAAAAAGAAGTCCAAAAATAAAACAAAACCGACTCCAATTCTCATATAAAAATTCAAGAGTAACGCTAATTTCTTCATGAACACCAAAATAGTATGGGACCGCCTCTGAGGTACAACCGTTCTATTAAAAATTATAGAAATCGGTTAAAGTGGTCCAAAGTTATGCTGTAACATACATAAAAAAAAAAATATTCCGACGAATTGATAACCTGCTCCTTCCTTGCAAAAAACGAAATTAAAATAATAATAAAAAAATTTCGATGAAGAATTAAATTAAATTTAACCGAGATGAGTAAATGAAAAAATATTTTTCCCATAAATTTGGAAATCTCAATCAATTAAAAAAAAATTTAATTTAAAAAATAAATGAAATTAAAAATATATTAGGGACCGAAAATAATCGTTATTATGAAGGATTTTTATTTTCAAATTATTGCAGAAACGTTTTTTTTTAATATCTTTTTACGAACACGGTTAAAAATAATCGTTATTTTATGATTTTTATTTTTTCAATAAAAAATAATCTGACAATTTTTAATCGTTGTTTTATTTTTTCGATCATAGATACTATAACCGTTATTTTCGAATTTCAGTTTTAGATCATTAACGATTTAAATCGGTTGTAAAAGCGTAGTGTCTATTAAAATGGTTAAAAAATATCGAAAAAATAACAAAAATCCAAAACAACGAATATTTCTGATCTTAAAAAATTTAAATCACGAAGTAACGATTCAAGACGATTGAAAAAATGAATATCATAAAACAACGATTAAAGATGATCGCAAAAATTAAATCACAAAATAACTATTAAAATAAACGGATGGGCCCCTGAAATATTTTTTTTAAAGAAAAATAAAAATTGTAATTAAACCAATTTATAAAACTAATTAGATGGAAAATTTAATAAAACTCAATTGAGGATAGTTGATAAAAAATTTATTTCCGTTGAATTATAGTATTTCAATTTAGTTAAAAAAAAGTTTCAATTAAAATAAATGAAATTAAAAGAAGTATTTCTTTTAAGAAAATTAAAGTCATTATACAAAATTCGATTACAAGTCTTCGATAAAAAGCAGTATTTAATTAAATAAATCAAAATATTTTTTACAAATATTTTTTTACAAATAATGAAAAAAAGCTAAAAAGCAAAAAATCAAAATAAAATATAAAAAGCAAAAAATACGAAAAATTACATGAAAAAAGAAAAATATATTGAATGCATAAAATAAATTGCTTTAAATAATAATAATAATAATAATAATAATAATAATAATAATAATAATAACAATAAAATAATAAAAATAAAAAGAGGTTTATGTATTAATAATACTGAGAAAAAATAAAAGTAAAATATATAGTAGAACTTCGTTAATCTGGATATGGTCTAATCCGGCTCCATTTGTAATCCGGACAGTGTTAAAAATAAAAAAATTCTATTATACTTTGAAACACAGACCTGATCGGTCTCGCCAATCCAGATCGCGCAAAAGTGTATTCGGCAAACAGAATATTCGACTAGCGGAAGTTACAAAAATTTTAATTACAAAAAATTCATTTACATCAAATTTAATCAAAAATATGTATATTGAAAAAAGAAACTACTAAACGGGCTAAAAATAAATCCCATGTAAATTAAACTTACACAAAATTTAAGATTTTAGAAATATACATGAAATAAGAATGTAAATAAATAAAAAAGTATAATAAATGCCCAAAATAAAGTATTTGCATTAAACACAAAAAAATAATAAATCGACACGGAAATAAAACATAATAAAATAAAAAAAAATGTAAATAGCGTTGAATAATATAAAAAAAAAACTAATGAAACCAGTAAAAAAATTATAAATGCATATAATAAATTGCATTAAAAAAGAATAAAACAAATTTAAAAATAAAAAAAGTTATTAAATTTAAAAATAACTTTTTATTTTACCATTTTTAAATACTAACGATTTTTTATGGTTCGCCCAATTGCTTTTTTGGTTTTGATGGTACATAGTTATCTACTATTAAAAAATGGTTAAGTGAACAAATTGGGTGTTATTATTGGAAGTCTCCTGAATAGAAAAAGAGTTTTCGGATCGAAAAATATTGACTTTCTAGAATTATATATCTAGCATTTCTACGAATGCAATTGTTTTTTTTTCCATATATAATAGTTGAACTTTTTTTTTATTTCAAAATAAAAGAAAACAGAGGTATATTTTTCGGTGGAGAACAATCCTAGGGGGTGGTAGCATTAAAATTACGACTTTCCTTTTTTTAACCGCTCTAATGCACACACATATCGTAGATGTTTTTGCGAAACCGCCCATCGACCATTTGCAAAACCGTAAAAATCCCCGTTAACCATTCACAAAATCCGCTAAGAATAAATTTCTTATAGATACAAAATAAATGTTATTTTGGTCTTTCCCCGCTTCCCATATTAATAACAATGGAATATGTAAAATTAAAGAGAAGAAAGGTGTGAAGAATAGCTTCGGTAAATCGATAAATTATCGATAAAAATATAAATAATTATGTACATCGGCAACTAAAAACAAAAACTGAGAAGGGAAAGAGTTCATTACTTTTCTTCGCATGCAATTGTTCAACTCATTAACCGAGCATTTTATTTCAATGGACATCTTTTAAAAAGAAATGCTTTGTTTAAGCCATATTAGTAACAAAGGAAAGGAAGTTAATATTTTTTTAAACTTTCGTGAAACAACGGTGTTGTCGAGGCATGTTATTTAAAAATTGACTTTGCTTATTTGAACAGTTGCATAAATTGGCAAGCTTTATATAATTAAGTTTATCTACCTGTTGCTTTCATATTAAAAAGTAGCGATAACAAAGGAACCTATAAATATTTATTTATTCAAGAACAAAAGAAGAACCATACGTAAAATTTTCATTTAAATCGAAAAAACCCACACATTTAAGTGTGGTTGTATAAATAAATATAAAAAATATATATAAAATACGTCTCTAGCAACCCAATGTATTCTACTTCCAGCTTGTCTAAAAAAGTATAAAATGAAAGCCAAACATTGTTCGACTGTGCATGAATTTAAGTCTTTTAATCTTAGTCTAGCCCTAGCCAACGCTGTCCATTCACAAAAAAATATGCTCCCACGTATCTTCTTTTTCAAGACAAAGACGCCGCTGCATTTGTTGAAATTTATAGACAACATAGCGCAGAGTTGAACCCGTGCACAAGAAATCCAAAAAACCCTGAATTGTTTTCACTAAAGCTGTATGGGAAAACTCAGAAATATCTGTTCAGAATATGTATTAGTGTCGCAATATGAATCCCACAATCCTGATTTCATTCTTAGCGTACAGAGTTGTGGGCTGTTGGGAAATGACGAAAGCTAGCCCACACTAAATTACGTCGTATTTGGACATACTTTTAGGGATTCCGAATAAAGGGATGGTCTAGAGGCGGAAGAGGAAGGTATTTCCTCGAATCCTGGTGGCTCAAATGTGGAGTGAGGAACGCTCTCAATTTAGTATACCGCAACCGAAGTGTCCTCCAAGCAGAAATTTTTGACATAGAAAGGGCGGCTAGCATGGGTTCTCGAACGTTGCAATACTGAAGACAGCTTAGTAGTAAGATGGTCGTAGCTGGTTCCAAAAAGCCAATTTACAGTGAAGTGATCTCCTTACAGCAACCGATTTGTAACGAATATACCTAAGCCGTAATAAATTAACTATGCACCAAATTAAAAAATTGTAAAGTCTGAAGATTTGTATGGCCAGATTAAGCAAAAAACGGGCTGATGAAATTTTGAAGCTAATTTTGAAATACGTAGTGGGAGTTCTTACAAGTATGACAGGAAAGGCTGAACAACACCACCTGGAACAGTAATGGTTTAACCCATCCTACCATGAAACCCCAGAATGACTCCAGCGGAAAGGAGGCACTCGCAAAGAAATCTGTTGAGGCACGAAGGTCCCTTTCTCAAAACAAATCAACCATTTCAACCCTTAAACACGCCCATCTGATTAACCTAAATGTGTATTCATAGTAATCAATCAAATTAAAAAAAAACCTGTAAAAACACACCTCACTCAATACAACTAGCTTTTCCTTCAGCTCCTATCCATAAGCGAGGCGAAAATACTGCTAGTTAAGCAATTTCTTGTTTTTTTGTTTGTTCTTTCCTTGAACGTATCGATAGCATTCCAATTCAGATTAATCAACTAAGCGTAAGCCCCTGGGCGACAGCGCACACCTAGTTAACGAAAATTTATTTATATATGTACCTAACTAAATATATACGAGTTTGTACATATGTATACAAGTCTCGACGCATTAATTACACATTTTTGTTTGTATTGATGTATTCGAACTTAATTTAGACCAGTGTCACTGCGTTAACACTTTGCTGTGGGCCAAATGAGGTTAGGCGAGGCGAGGCAAGGTAAGCCTAGCCGCATAAAGCTGATGTGTATCACGCAGAGCCATGATTTACGAGGAAGGAAGCGCGATTTGTTGTTGCCACATCCGATGCTATGTATCTTCCTTATTTTCGCTTAGATCATGGTACTCGTAGCCCAGTGTCTATATGTACTCGTATTTTATAGTAAATATAGCCAACAGCATCGACGCAGCTTGTCGTATACACAGATACTAACGCGCCGAGGCATGCATAATTAATGATGTATGCATAATTAATCAATTCATCAGCACCAAAAGCGTCAACAGAAAATACATACATACATGCATACCAACATATATAAAATATATTTAAGTACTGTATTATATGCGCATACCTACAAATCTATATTGGGGCATATGATATGTCTATGGGAATTTAAGGTGATATATGGTATTGATGCCCCA